GAGCAGGGGGTTGGACTAGATGACCTCTTGAGGTCCCTTCCAACCCTGATATTCTGTGATTCTATGAAAGTTTTTCCACAACTAGTGTACTTCTTTGACTCTAGCGGTATATTGGTATGGTTAAAGAGTACAACCTCCCTTACTGTTCCTCTCAGCCCCCCAAAAGGAATGCAGATGCTTTATACCGGCAATAGCTCTGCCTGTACAGAAAGAGACATAACGATACTGGTATCAGGCACCGTTATGCTGAGATAACTGCATCCACACTTTGTTGTATTGGTATAATTGTATCAATTAAAAAAATCACAGTCAGGACTGGTTGACACTTGAAAGTTGTATCATTCTACGTACTGCCAGAAAAGCAAAGGTGAAACAACTTTTAAAAAATATTTATTTTATGTGGTGTAGCTTTGTTATTTCAGAGACCCGTTTGGATAGCGTTTAAATGAGGAAAGGGAGCACGAGATCTGTTACTTTAAAAGTTGTCTGGCTGTATTCCTCAGAGTCTGTCTGAATAATGGAGCTCCGCCTTGACCGAGGCAAGGAGACAACAGCCATTGAATACAGCAAAAAGATCAGAACAAAAGACAGGAAACAGATCATAACACACGTACGAGTACAGCGTGAGGCCTAGGGGTGGCAGGTGGGGGGAGGGGAGGACTGCAAAGAGCTGTACCTAGGAAAGGAGACAATAGCACATGTACTCTTCATTAATCCGGGCAAAGCTTTGCTCCTATTACTGCCGTCCTTGTCTCTCCCCCTCACTTGTGTTCTACAACCCCATTGTGACAAGGCTCCATTTAGACTGTAAACGTATCTAGGGGACTGCCTGTATTTTATGTGTACGATGCTTATATAATGAGGCCCTAATCCTGACTGGGGCCTCGGTGAACGAGTGGAATAAATGCTACTGCAGCTAACTGGTAATGTAAGAGTACAGAAGACCTCCAAAGGGACCGTATGTCCTTGGCTTTGTGGTGAAAAGTAAAACAAATGGGATGGACAAACGAATACCCACCCAGCTCGAAATTCCTGCATGTCGGGCTTAACTGTAGTCCTCAGTGCACATTTATGGTGTATCTAGACATTAAAGGCAAGCCCTGGTTTGCTGTAAGTAACCTGAGATCTGCAGGAGATTGGCAAGAAAGTTCCTGATCATTTTACATTTTTGACGCTATATCTGCAAGGAAAAGGACTTTAAAAACAAAAGGGGCTGAAATTCTTCTGGCTTAGCAATTCAGCAAAGGCCAAGTCTACATACATACCTACTCTAGGCAGGGAACTCTTGCATAATTCACTTGTGACATCACAGTGTTTTCATCACCTGGAAATCCCTCAGAGCTCTGAGCTCAGGTGTGATACCTGCCTCACTTTCGCTTTCCCTTTCCAAACACTTTGCTGCTCTTTGCTGGGTGACAGCAGAGCTGGGTTTTTCTGCCCTAGACTAAAGCAAAATGTGGTTTCATGTTATTTTTCTTAACCAGAAAGAGCCTTTTGGTATAAAAGCAAGAGCCATGGAGAAGAAAAACCACATCCAGAGCCAAGAGAGTGGCAAAGCAGCCCTGAGACACAAGAGGCAACTAAAGCAACATCCCAGCAAATACACGGCAAGGTAAGAGTGACTAGCCTGGAGCCTCTCCTTACCACACAATTGTTCTTTACCGAGTGATTATATTGTGCTCTATGGTAGACAGCAAGGAATATATGTTGTACAAGCAAAGTGCGTTACACCTGTAATGTATTATTAATGGCTGACTATTTAAACAAAAAAACCCTCTGATTCATGAATATTTTCCTGGAGAAAATCAGAGTTCAAGTTGGTATGATTTGTAGGGTGTTTTAGTTTTGTATCTGGAGAATTGTTGGGTACTTGCAAAAAGGGTTTGCCTTCCCCAAAACTTTCACAACTGATATTTCATACAAAAATGTGCATGGATTAAAAATAGTTCAGTCATCAAATTATGGAGAAGAAACAATGTCGTGACATAGGGGACCAGCAAGAAAATACGACTATCAAATTTCTATCAGACAAAAAGAGTCAGTAGCCTGAAAATTATTTATCAGAACTATTTTGCAAGTGGCAGGTATATATTTGCGTAAAATTAGGATTCGCTCGTACTTTGCTATACTAAAAGAAGCAGGATAAATTTGTAACAAATGCTGTAGGATGATGTACCCTGCTGCACCTACTAGATACTTTATTGTTTGACTACATAGTGAGCAAGTATTTATAACAGCTGAAGTCTGAAGGGTGGTTTGAAAAGAACAGATAATTCTGCTGAATGTCAATAAGTTAGTTTTAAGAAAAAGAAGAAAACATCACTTTTGCCAGCTGTTTCATTTCATTCATTTCACAGCTGATCAAATTAGCTGGTTGGCTTGAGGAAGGCTTGAGAAATGGTAACAATTGTTTTACTTCCCAGTCCCCTATAGGAAGCCACAGCTCAGAGCTGGGCATTTCACTGATTCTGTGTCACCAGCTGCCTCCTGCAGTAGATTTAACCATGTTTGAAGAAACAGTAAAAAAAAATTTAGAGCTAGGTTTGTCTCCAGTGCAGACCTAGCTTATGAGACGGCGTCCAACTCGCTGGCATGTCAGTGATGTATCTCTCCCGTTCTGTTTCCCTTAGGGAAAATGGTGAACGTAGGCGACAAACTTCTCTTTGCTCTGGCCATCTGGACGATGACTACAGAGGCCTTTCCCAAAGGCACTGAGAGGACAAAATGCCACCTTGCAAAATACAAGTCCCTGCCACCTCAGGAACCGGAGGCCTTCAAGAAAGCCAAGGACAAATTTGTAAGTGTGAAGAACACACACTGGGCAATAACAGCACTGTGAGCCCTAGGCTGTCATCGGAACAGCGGCCCACTCTGCATGTCCCTTTGCACTCAGGGAAGAAGCTGAAAACCAACTACCAAGAAGGATTTCATTTTATTTTTCTGCCAGCTCGAGCACCCTGCTGGCCAGCACCAGGCTCTAGCACAGCGCCTGCTGAACCCAGGTCCTCTCCACACTGGAGGAGAACGACAAAGCACAGTTTAAACTTGGTCATGCATATCACTGTCATATCCCTTGTGGATACCAGCCCTAGAGGTACAAGGGAGACATTTGATGTCAGCATCTCATCTCCCTGCATCACCACTGGGATTGTGTGGAGAGAACTGAGGGAAGAACTAGTACAGGTTTGTTCCTGCTCCTACATAAATATGGGTCTCTGTTCTTTCCTTCTGCTTCCAGGAGGACATGATGCTGTCGTCAAACCGAAAATGCAACACCAGGATTTTCCACCGGAACTGGGAAGTCAAAGAGCTGTCGGTACGAAAAATCTCAGCCAAGGGGCACAAGAAGGTCACATGCTAGCACAGGGGTTCTCAAACTGAGGTTTGGGACCCCTCAGGGGGTTGCAAGGTTATTACATGTGGGGGGGGGGTCGCGAGCTGTCAGCCTCCATCCCAAATCCTGATTTGCCGCCAGCATTTATAATGGTGTTAAATATATTTTAAAGGGTTTTTAATTTATAAGGGGGGGTCGCACTCAGAGGCTTGCTGTGTGAAAGGGGTCACCAGTAGAAATGTTTGAGAACCACTATTCTAGCAGATGGTTCCTTCCTAACATGTGTCCCTTTCTCGCTGAATCTGATGTCACTTACCCTTGTGCTAATCTGACACAAGGCACTTTGACCATTGACCATGGAAAGATTAACAGAATTAAATCGGAGACTAAGGTTTATGATTTCAAAAGGGCTAACTTTAATAAATTAAGGGGACTAGTTAGGGAAGTGGATTGAACTAACATATTTAGGGATCTAAAGGCAGAAGGCACCTGGGATTATTTCAAGTTGAAGTTGCAGGAGCTGTCGGAGGCCTGTATCCCAAGAAAGGGAAAACGGTTCGCGGGCAGGAGATTTAGACCGAGATGGATGAGCAAGCGTCTCAGAGGGGTCATTAAGAAAAAACAGAAAGCGTACAGGGAGTGGAAGATGGGAGGGATCAGCAAAGAAACCTACCTTATTGAGGTCAGAGCATGTAGAGACGGAGTGAGAAAAGCCAAAAGCTGTGTAGAGTTGGATCTTGCGAGGGGAATTAAAACCAATAGTAAGAGTTTTTATAGCCATATAAATAGGAAGAAAACAAAGAAAGAAGAAGTGGGACCGCTTAAGACTGTAGATGGAGTGGAGATTACGGATAATCTAGGCATGGCACAATATCTAAACGAATATTTTGCATCAGTATTTAATGAGGCTAATGAAAGGCTGAGGAATAGTAGAAGCAAGACGGATGGGAATAAAGGAGTGGGGGTTGACATTACCGTATCCGAGGTAGAAGCCAAACTCAAACAGCTTAACGGGACTAAATCGGGCGGACCGGATGATCTTCATCCAAGAATATTAAAGGAACTGGCGCAAGAAATTGCAAGCCCGTTAGCGATCATTTTTAATGATTCTGTAAACTCGGGGGTGATACCTTTTGACTGGAGAATAGCTAATGTGGTTTCTATTTTCAAGAAGGGGAAAAAAAGTGACCCAGGTAACTACAGGCCTGTTAATTTAACATCTGTAATATGCAAAGTCTTGGAAAAAATTTTGAAGGAGAAAGTAGTTAAGGACCTTGAGGACAATGCCAATTGGGACAAATTACAACACGGTTTTACGAAAGGTAGATCGTGCCAAACCAACCTGATCTCCTCCTTTGAGAAAGTAACAGACTTTTTAGACAAGGGAAATGCGGTGGATCTAATATACCTCGATTTCAGTAAAGCGTCTGATACGGTACCACATGAGGAATTATTGGTTAAATTGGAAAAGATGGGGATCGATATGAAAGTCCAGAGGTGGATAAGGAACTGGTTAAAGGGGAGACTGCAGCGGGTCGTACTAAAAGGTGAACTGTCAGGTTGGAGGGAGGTTACCAGTGGAGTTCCTCAAGGTTCAGTTTTGGGTCCGATTTTATTTAATCTATTCATTACTGACCTCGGAACCAAATGTAGGAGTGGGCTGATAAAGTTTGCAGATGACACAAAGTTGGGAGGTATTGCCAATTCGGAGAAGGATCGGGATATCCTGCAGGGAGATTTGGATGACCTTGTAAACTGGAGTAATAGTAATAGGATGAAATTTAATAGTGAGAAGTGTAAGGTTATGCATTTAGGGATTAATAACAAGAATTTTAGTTATAAACTAGGGACGCATCAGTTGGAAGTAACGGAAGAGGAGAAGGACCTCGGAGTCCTGGTTGATCGCAAGATGACCATGAGTCGGCAATGTGACGTGGCCGTGAAAAAAGCTAATGCAGTCTTGGGATGCATTAGGCGAGGTATTTCTAGTAGGGATAAGGAGGTGCTGGTTCTGTTATACAAGGCATTGGTGAGACCTCATCTGGAGTACTGTGTGCAGTTCTGGTTTTCCATGTTTAAAAAGGATGAAATCAAACTGGAACGGGTACAGAGAAGGGCCACTAGGATGATCCGAGAAATGGAAAATCTGTCGTATAAAAGGAGACTCGAGGAGCTCGGTTTGTTTAGCTTAACCAAAAGAAGGCTGAGGGGGGATATGATTGCTCTCTTTAAATATATCAGAGGGATAAATACCAGGGAAGGAGAGGAATTATTTCAGCTCAGTACTAATGTGGACACGAGAACGAATGGATATAAACTGGCCGTCGGGAAGTTTAGGCTTGAAATTAGACGAAGGTTTCTAACCATCAGAGGGGTGAAGTTTTGGAACAGCCTTCTGAGGGAAACAGTGGGGGCGAAAGATCTCTCTGGCTTTAAGATGAAGCTTGATAAGTTTATGGAGGGGATGGTTTGATGGGATAAAGTGATTTTAGTCAATAGGTCAATAACGTGCCATAACGTGCTGGTAATTAGCAACAATGGTCAATGATGGGATATTAAAAGTTACTACAGAGAACTTTTTCCGGAGGGTCCGGCTGGAGAATCTTGCCCACATGCTCGGGGTTCAGCTGATCGCCATACTTGGGGTCGGGAAGGAATTTTCCTCCAGGGTAGATTGGCAGAGGCCCTGGAGGTTTTTCGCCTTCCTGCGCAGCATGGGGCAGAGGTCGCTTGCTGGAGGATTCTCAGCGATTTGAAGTCTTTAAATCTTGATTTGGGGACTTCAATAGCTGAGTCAAGGGAGACAATTCTTCCGGGAGTGTGTGGGTCAGCTTTTGTGGCCCGCATCATGCGGGAGGTCAGACTAGATGATCATAATGGTCCCTTCTGACCTTAGAGTCTATGAGTCTATGTCTTTGTAGTCACTGATTTAGTCAGGAGCATGTCAGATCTGACAGTGGCTCTTTCTCGGTGTAAATAAGGGTCACCCCTCACCTTCAGTTCAGGTGCCTTCTCACTGGCTATAAACTGGTGTCAAGAAAGACATGTGCAGATGAAGCTGTTTCCAGTCAGGAGTGATTTAAATATTTCATTTATTGACAAATCAAGAAAGCCCTGAGTGGTTTTGGAAAATCTCCTGTTTCAACCTAGTCTGCCTGCCCCTACGCATGGGAACTTCTAGTCCTGTATCTGCACAGCTGTGCCTCTTTCTCCCACAGACACTCTCTTACCTACAAGTTTCTCTCCCCAGGTGCACGATAGAGTCATCCTGGTAGAGAACGAGCTGGACTTTACCATTAACGTGCTGGAGAATGTTGAGGACCCCAGTCTGTCCAAACTGCTCTCAAGGCCGCTAGAAATCCTGACACAGATCAGAGGGGACCTGAGGGACTGTGTGAGTATTCAGTGCCAGATTTCTCTTTCAGTGCCAGCAAATACTTGCATGTGGCTCTTGCTTTGGGCCCATCCGTATATGGGACATTGAAAGCGGGAGTAGTTGATATGACATGCACAAGGGTAGCCGCCTAGACTATGTCCGGGCAAGAACTGCTCTGCGCCTGTAGAGAAAGGGCTTTGGTCCACTGTCGGCTGAAATCTCTGGGCACCAACCAGTCTGTATCAACTTTGTTTTCAGACCAGACAAACTCATTCTCATCGACACTCCAGGAGGTTGAACAATTGGCTCCAAAATTTCCATAAGAGCAAGGAGACGGTGAGTAGTCATTGGAGACAATGAGGAAAGTGAACTTCCATACAAATTAGAGAAGGAACACGCCTACTAGGTTTCCATCCCAGAGGCCAGGGCGGGATCCATTGTGCAATGATGTCACAGACTACAGCAACAGCTAATGTATGGTTTGAATTATGCTGCATTTCATGATAGTAGTTAAACTGCAGTTTGCGTGTGCATCTGCTTGGGTTCCAGAAATCCGCATTCACATTGCTCTGTTTCCAGCACTCACCC